GACGCTACTAAGTTAACGTTAATTCGCCGGGATAATTAGCTAGGAATAACGTAACGATTAAGGATTTAGGATCGATGATGTATTTGCATACCTCTGCCCATATTGGTGTTCGCGTTGACTATGGCGTAAGTCACGCGATTTTTCACGGCGGCACTTATTTTATTCACCACGTCGGCCGGCGAGCCCATTATAAAAGACGCGTTCGTAATGTTATTCAAGTCACACGTTATTTCGGCTTCTTCAATTTCCGATGGTGAATCAACTCCTATCACTTCCAGACATTTCTGTTACAATAGCAATAGCGGTAGATTAATCGTCTTGTTAGTTCGTTCGATTCAGTCGCGTTTTCGTGTGTGCGCGCACGACACATACGGATACGATAGTACACGTCAATTGTGCCGTTCGCTTAATAAGAGATATTCGCTTACGTTACGCGTCCCGTGTGAGCTTAACTTGTGTGTTGTACTTACAGATGCCATCATAAGTCCGACTACGCCAATGCCACAGCCGATTTCGAGTATTGTTACTTTCGACGTAGGCTTAAGCATGTCCATGACTGCTTTGGCTACGTTCAACGCGCCGGCAGCGTTCGACCAAAAGTTGGTCTTTGGCGAGAGCTGCACTTTCAGACCACCGACGACTTCGTCTAGAGCTTCTGCTCCCACTAAGAACGTCGTGTTTGTAATGATCTTATTATTGGCGCATCTGAAACGAATGCAATGAGAGATTGCAGATTTCCGCCAATCAGAGCAGAGTTCTCTGTCTTGTGTGTGTATATGTCGAGCTCTTACTTGTTCAGCGATTTGCAATACAGAGATTTGACATTGCAATCTTTCCCCTGACCCGACTCGTATATCTGTTTCAGACGGTCCAGAGTACTGCGACTGATGTTCTTCCCAGTTGCAAAAAGCATGAGCTCGCCCATGCTATTGCAACGCACTAACAGCCACATCCACATTTGATTTTGCACTGAATCGACATCCGAAGATGTGTCGTTCGATAAATTTTCATCAGACGCCGTTGCGGCGTCGTCCGGCGACGTTATTGTTGTTTGAAGAAAATCTTCAAATATCTAATAACGCCAATATAACGGTCGATATTATATCGGCAAATGTGTAATTTCCCTTATATCTAACTGATGTGATGCTTCTTCGCGCGTTAAGTAATTTATATCTACACATATATGTTTTGAAAATGTATACCACGTAAATGGTACACGTATACATGTATATGTACGTGTATCTATATATATATATATATATATATATATGTATATACACACACATTTATAAGAGCTAAATTGTTTAAGATTTGCGGAAGCACGATATCAGTTGTTGCAATTTATCGTTGTTACATACAACTAGAAAATTGTATTATATATATATATATAGCATTTATTTTTCATTTATTATTATTTCATGTTATCAATTTATCTTATAGATAAATCTTGCTTTCTCAGTTTTTGGGCTATTTCATGATTATTACTCCATGTTATTCATTTATCTCTCGTAGAAATGCTTTTTAACTCTTTGGCAAACTCATGCAAGTTCATGTACACGAGACTGGTTTACAGTCAAATGTGCGGAATCTACGTTGTAGATACCAAAAATCTGTGAGTATTTTGCATGTTTTCATTGTCTTATTTAATCAAACTCTCATTGTATTGTACATGGTTATCCGCATTATTCCAGACTTAATTTAAGCCATATTTTCAAAATTACATACGCATCATTTGCATCATAAATTTCCTTGTTTGCATGGTTAATTATATTTGTAAACAACAGACGTTGTGTCACGTTACAAATAATTATTAGTATTAAGATGCATCATACGTGTGTCTATATTTCTAGTCCTTATATTTTTTTTTCAGTCACTTTTCTCTTTCATTTTTGCGTACAAAATATATTCATGACCGTTTAGAGCAACGGTATAATATCAGAAGATATCTAAATCAGATATATATATCACTGTTTAACAGTTTTATGTCGACAATAATATCGACAACAATATGTATTAATAATACATATTGCAAATTCTTTATCCTTCTTTTTTGTGTTCTTTTAAGACATTATTTTAACGTGCCGATTTTTTTACAAAGAAAAAATTGCACGTCTTCCATGATGAAATATGACATCGATGTTGTCATTATTTTTGCTGATATTTTGACAAACTTGCGACAATGATAATATTTTCGTAAGTGCCAGAAATTCATTCTATTGCGTATGCAATAGTATAGAAATTATATTTTTACAGATTCTTCTTATTTTACTCGTATATGTCCTTTTATCGTATTATGTACATATCTATATATAGCATCTTGTACACAGAATCACTCCATAGTTTATAGAAGCTCGCACATGAATAATTACTGCTCATAATTATGCAGATCTGTTTCCACTTTTAGGATAGTAGATATTCAATATATACAACTGATATAAAAACTAACTTAATGCTGAATCATTTTCGTATTGTAAAGATGTAGTAGATTAACCAGAAAACCCATTGTTTTAGGTGGAAAAGGAAAAAAAAATGAAATTTTTCTAAATATAAAAGATATACCTTGACAGCTTTTAATACAAACGATGGAAATTCGGACGTGTTATGGATATCAACACCCCATGCCGACGTTGGTTCAAGGCTCCAGACTGTTTTGTAACTTTTATTGGAAGATTCCGATTTTTCTTCTTCTTTCACAGTTACCTGTACATCTTTTCTGATGCCTAAACATGCCATATTGTATTTATCACATGTTTATGAAAAAAATATTAAATATCATATATTCTTGACAACACCGTTATTTGATAAAAAAGATATCTAATAAAAAAAGGCAAGTTTTATTACACTGCATGATATACATGAGATGTATACTAAAGCGCGGGGGATCTCAAGAATATTTCAAACAATTTCAACATGATCAAATATTTCCAGAGCATTAACCATTTCTTTTTATACTCACATTCAAACTTCCATCGGTTTGTATGTGGCTTGTCTAATAGACAACGTCGAAATGGATCCAGCTTGCACATAGGCGATCCTTCTTTCTTTTCTATTCTCTCTAACCATTTTTCATAATGAGGATAAGTAATTCCTAAAACTCGAGCTAATTTTGAGAGTCTTTCTTTAACAAGCGCTTCTTTATCTGCAATCTAGAAAGAATGTTTTTTTCTAACTTAATAATCACAATATCCGTGTATTAATTTAAAGTAGTTTCCGGAACTGATTTAATTTAACAATGAAGCTTGATTGAAAATGAAAAGATTCTAAAATATTCTACCTTTTTCTTATACCAATTCTCTTCTACCCCTCCTTTGTCTTCTCCATTCACTTCATCCTGCTGCATCTGTTCTTCTTCCTCACTTTTAATAGCCACAACTTCATTATCATTCTCTGTAGATTTATCCATACAAAACGTCTCAGGATCCAATTCAATATTTTCTATTACATCCAAATGATGCATCACATCTTCGTCTGTTACGTCCTTATGTGTATCTAATTGTGTGTCTAAACCGATATCAATGACCAAGTCAGCAGAATCATTCTTAGCTCGCTCATCATCTTCTACTTGCATTGGTTCATCTTTGTTTTCAGTGTGAGATGTTACATTGCCTACAAATATACATATATTCTATGCCATAAATAAAGAGCATCGTCAATAGATAGTGTACTTTTCATGCTGCAAAATTTATCACAGCTAACATATATAGCTCCTGTTCTTTAATTGCACAATATGAAAATAAAATTGCTTCGTGAGACTAAATTACAGAATGTTGTTTTTATGTTATGCAAATTATTCTTTTTCTAATCAAGGAAATTCTTTCCTATCAGATATAACGATTTGACCGTGTAATCCCCACATTGTACACCTGGAATAATGCCAATACCTCAACTTCAAATAGCTTATAATTCATAGAGTCCTTGATGGAAACTAAATGTAATCGATTTTGAAAACATCTCGACATCAGCTACAAGAATACGTGATAAGAAATGCAAGTTACTGTTTGAAAAATTCAACATGATCCTGATGTAACCTTAATACCCAAGGTTATCCTATAACTTTCATCTGGAATATCCTTTCAAAGAACGCGTTCTTTTTGAGGTATCTTCAATTGTCGTGCAATTGTCGTGTGACATTAAATTCTTCGTCTCATCTGCATATATATGTTACAAATTGCGAATAATACTCGGCGACACTTTTTAAGACTAAATTCTACATTATACCACTGGTCTCAGGATTCTGCTCGGTGGTGTCCATTCGCTCCACAGTATCCTCAGGCTGTTCCACGACACTGTCCAGCTGTTCCACTGTGGCATCCGGCTGTTCTACAGTATTATCCGACTGTTCTATGGTATCGTCCGGTTGTTCCACGGTGTTGTCCGGCTGTCCCACGGTGTTGTCCGGCTGTTCTACGATATTGTCCGGCTGTTCTACGGTGTCGTCCGGCTGTTCCGCGACATTATCCGATGGTACCGTCGCGTTATCCGGCTCTTCCACGGTATTATTCGGATGTTTCACGGTATCGTCCGACTTCTCGCAGTTCATAGCCTCCATTTGGGAATCTCGGGTCGATCGGCAACTGTCGTACGTTCAACGGGCTCGTTCTACGCGGAAATAATAGAGTCGATTAATGCGAGCGAGGAAACGTCTATCGGACGCGCTATCGACAGTGATTACATGACGTAACGCGGTGACTGAGCAAGGAGGAGTCACGAAACACTCGCATTAGCAAGCACCGTACAGCACCGGCACCTCGTCTAACGAGGTCTCGTCGACTTCTTACGTCCGACTTACACGCAACTTCTCGACTTCTCTTTGGTTGCTGCCCGCGAAAGGTAGCGCGATCGCGATCCTCGCGCGTCAAACGCCACGCACAGCGAACGGGCGTAAAAGATACGGTTTAGAATCGCGACCTTTCGATCCGGCTGTTATTCTTTCGCAACGCTTCCGCAATGTCTTCCGTTAGTTCGATCGAACGCGTGAAATATTAACGGCGCGAAGCAACGTGAACGCAGACGCGTGTGCGGATTGCCGCGAAGCGAAGGAACTTCCTTCGAAAATACTTCCTTCGATATTCGAGTCCGAGCGCAAAGGTGTGCTCTCTCTCTCTCTCTTTCTTTCTCTTTCTTTCTTTCTCTCTTTCTCTCTCTCGTTACGCTCGACGAGCCGTACTTCTCTTACCTCCGTTAGAACAGTCCCGCATTTGGGGTTATAGCTGCGCCGTTCTTAGGGCGCGCAATATCCGATTCTTTGAAATTCCTTGATAGAAAGAAAGTTTGTGCCAGTGGTACCACTGGAAAATGCGACAGCGTAAGTAACGTGATCAGTCTAATAAGCGAGAAATCATTAACACAATGCTATCACACAATATTTTGTAACATGCAACATTTTCGAATATGTAATTCTTAATGTCGTGTATATAACGTCATTGTTAATAATTTATTCAAACGTTAAAAATAATATTTCTATACTATAATTTTAATACTTAGGGATATTATATTATCAAGTTTAAAAACACTTATGAAATATTATGTCAAAATGTTGACAAAATTCATATAAAGTCGGTGTTTCAAAAGATTGACTTGGTGTTTTTTTTATTTACTGGAGATGTTTCTGATATGATAATGAGATGCTTCCAGAATCATTTTTCTTGATCATGACACCTAAGTAGAACAAAAACAAAGGTCAATTTGACTCCGATGATTTTTTGTTCCACTTAGCTGTCAAGATGACGTCAATCGGTCTGTTCTTTATAGCTGGACTGCTGAACTGGTGAAATGAGTTGAAGTGAGGAAACAAATATTTGTCTCACTTCAACTTATTGTTTGAGTTCAGCAGTGCAGCTGTAAAAAAAGGCCTCGTACTACTTGGGAAATACAAGAAGCGTCTGACTCACTGGTCTAGTTTCCACCAAAGCCTCCAATCCGATTCTACTTGAGTGCGGAGATAATGTAGCATGATGTTTCCATTGAAAATAGAGTAATAGTAGTGAAGAAGATTAGTTGCGTTTCCATCGACTTAAATTCCGTTCTACACCGCGTTAGGTGCGAAGTAGAAGCAGATTGAAGGTTTCGGTGGAAACTAGACCACTGTTAAATCATACCATGATCTCAAAATTCCTCGTGTAGGACTCTCATTATATAAAAAAAATGATTATGCACATACGTTTTATTTCTGTCACAGTTACTTCTTATTCAGACGATGATCATGATTAATTTTCCATCGAATAGTTATAGTATCGAATAGTTTCACAGGGCGAGTTCGAATACTCTTTGAAGTTCTCAAATTCTACTTCCAGCATGTTTCGATATTTCTGTCCAGCGATCGGTGAGTCTTTCCCCATTGGTTGGTCGACAGTTGTGCGTCAATCACACAATGCGAGAGCGCCACACTAACTATGATCGGTATTTATAGACTAGTATTCACAATCGGATGTAATATTTAAGACTACCTTAAGTTCATCTTGAGATGTTTCGTAGCCAACGAAACGAGCGATACAACATTTGAAGTCTACGATTGTCTCTTGACCAATCAAATCGCCAATAGCTTCTTTCTGATTGGTTAAGAGACAATCATAGACGCAATCGCCAAGCGCTAGTGTGATACGAGCTTAAGTTAGGCGCATCGACTCTTAGTTCCAAAGTCTCCGCTACGGGGCGCTATCATATTTGTCGATGATTTGAGGTCGTAAATCAGGTACTTTTGATCAAGATTGAGTGAAATCACCGATGTTTGAAACATCGACGTTTACTCACTGAGGATGCATCGTACGAGTTTATCGGATGTGTCGATTCGCTGTCAGATAAATATTTCTAAAGCTCCTAACATTTTCTCTAGATGGACGTAACACCATCTTCAATGAGTAAGTATCGATATTCCTCAAACATCGATGATTTTGTTCGTCTCTAGGTGTTTCTTTTATTTCCCAAGTAGTATAACTTGAAAGCTGGTCAGAAGCACATTTCTCTTATATAGAAACATAAACGAAATTCAACAGATTGTAACTTCGACAAAAATGATGATAACGAGATAATTCGAGAAGTATTTTAAAGTTTGAAATTTCTATTCTTTCCAAATATATTAAATTCATAACGCTATTATTGTTTATTGCCAAAGTATATCGAGTTTAATGAGAAATAGTCAGATCATTCAATAGATCATTTCATTTTTAACCACATCTATCAGATGAATTATTTATTATATTAAAAATTAACTTGAATTATTATATTGAAAATTATTATATTGGAAATTAACTTTTATAAAAAATTTGATAAATGAATTTTCAAAAGGAAAAAGTTTATGCTTTTGCTTATTCATTGCTTAGAGAATGTTGCATATCGATGTTGTATATTCGTTCGCTTACTGTGACTGATTAAAGTATCATTTTTGCTTCATCATTAAATAATTCGATAAAAAAAATCGCACCGTAATCTCCGAATAAATTAAAGAAAGAAGTTCATAGTTTCAAATCGTGTAAATCCTATTTGTTGATTTTTTTACTCGGTANNNTTTTACTCGGTATAATTTGACAAACTTTATAAAAAATATTTCCACTCGACGAATTTCAATTTACTTTTATGTATCATCGTAAAAAGTGTAGTAGACATAATATTTGAACACATATATGAAAATCAGAGATTCTTTAAAATGTTACCTTAACCACTACATTATGAATATTTGGCCGAAGTTGCAACTCATTAAACTTTACTCATTTCTCATATATCATTGAGCAAAATAAATATTAATTATTAAAGAATCACTTTTTTCGAAAGATTATGAAAAATTGATCATGAAAAAGTTCAACATTCTGTCTTCGTAAAAAACGATAATGCCAACATGGTTCGAAAAACACTTTATAATTTAAAGTCTCTAATTTTGAAACATATTAAAATGATAACATTGTGTCGTTTCTTTAAGAAATATCGAGTTAAATAAGAAGCGACGATAATTCAATTTTCAATCTCTCCTTTTCAGTTAAACTTTAATATCGAAAAATTATTTATATCACAAATAGGACAAGAGTATTTTAAACGGAGAACTTTATATTAATTTAAACTATATATTAATTTTTTATCGAACGTCATATATTAATTCACTCACTCTCTATGAATGATCGAATGGTCGAAAGAACACTTTTTGCTTCAACGTTAAATAACTCGATGAAAAAGATCGTGCCGAAATCTACGGGAACGTGCAAATTAAAGGGAAAAAATCCATGCTTTTAAATGATGTAAATCTCATACGATTGTGATTTTCCCGTGCAACTTGACAAACTTCTTCAGATATCTCGCAAATCCCGATGGATCCTCGTGTAACATCGTAAGAAATAAGTAAATGATACATTTGAAAATATTTTCAAAAATTAAAGGCCCCAAGCTGCGAAATACTCCCTGAAAGCATCTTATCGTTATTTCAACCCGCCGAATTTCGCCTGTTGTTCGCGGCAGGGAAGAATATCGCGACTTCTCGCACGCATCCGTCTTATACCCGTGTCAAAGTGCATTGTAAATCGAAGAATGCGACTCAAGGTGTTGCAGCCAATCATGGGCGAGCGCGACGAGACCGAGGGTGTCCACGATTGGTGCAACTTCTCGGCCCGATTCACGATCTTTGATTGTCGATACGCGGTCTGACACGAGCTTTACTATTCCTCCTGGCGGCACGAGCGGGCCGCCAACCATGCAGCGGGTGTTTCGACGCGTTTCGGCGCCGACGAGCGCTCAACCCGCGCTGCCAGGGCGCAGACGCGCGCCTTATGGATTTTACCCCCCGGTCGCGTCGGTAGTATCGGGTATAGTCCTGGGGGTTGGCCTGGTGGGAGTCAGAGGGGCATACGAGGGCGCTCTTCCCGCGGGTCGTCCACGAAAGGGAGAAGGAGCGATGCGCGAGCCGGTCGCGGAGGGTAGTTGACGAGGAGGAAGAGGAAGAGGGGAGTCAGCGCCGAAACGATACAAGCGACGGGTTGGGCCGGCCGTCTGCACAACGTGACCTGCCCGATTACACGGGGATGAGCAAGCCCGCGCGTCCATCCCCCTGTGCACGAGCCGAAGGACTCTGTGACATGTGACCGAGCCGAGCGCAACGTCGTGGTCGTCCCGCATCCATCCCCGTCGGTCGTTCCTGCAGGACTCAACGCGACAGTCAACCACGTGGTTCGGAGCTCTGGTGAGTGAGTCCTTCCTTGTCGCCTTTTACAGCGAGCTCCTCTACCGATGAGGGTGGCTTTCCGACGGTGGTTCCGACCGGGGTGTCAACGCGAACCGGACGCGATCCTGAGCGCATTCCATACGAATACGCTGCTGCAAACGAAGCCCCCGAGAATTAACACAGCTCGTGTTTTATCTTATATATCTGACGAGGGGTCCGACCCTTCCGTGAAATGCATCGTAAATCTGTATTCACGCACACAAACGTGAGAAACTTGGATTCCAGGTATTTTCGGTCGGCCTTTCTCTCACGGAAATGTACAAACGGGTCTTTCGAGCGCGACGTTAGAGCACAATGGAAATGACAAAAATTTCACTCAGTCGCACCTTGAAGTTCTAGACGCGAGAATTTTGCACAATCGCTTGGCCACGTATATGCGTATATTACTGTGTGTCATTCGTCAAATTCGGAATTGCCATTGGCCGTGGTAAATAATGAAGTTACGGTAAGTTTACGTGCGTAGAGATTGAGAGAGAGAGAGAGAGAGAAAGAGATAAATGTTTTTTTAACATATAATTGCAGAACGATGTTTTGGCAATTTAAATTTAATGCTGATTTTATGTAGAACAGATTTCGTGTAATCACACACGGAAAGAAAAGGTCGGTTAGTAATTGATTATCTGTTATCTGGGGACCAGACGAAAACTCGACAGGAAACGATCTATAATCGAGTTTTTGTCTGGTCCCCGTGTAGCTACACGAATTGGAACTTTTCCGTATAAAACCCCAAATATCAGGTCGTTGGAAATACCTGCCGAAAACAAAACGAGATCAGGAAAAACATAAATCTTCTCATGACGGATCGTCAAATTCTGTTATTTTCCCTTATAAAAGGAACTTTTACTATTTCTATTTCTATTTTACATATAATAGTATGTGCAATATACTACACAATAATAGTATAAAAGGAACTTTTATACTATTCTATTTTACATATAGGCTGATTCC